TATGGAAATCCAATGTTGGACAATTAAGCTCAAGAGCTCATCCTAGAAAAAAATGCTACACATCTCATTAGTGAGTATCACTTCAAAATATTCCTCTTGGCCATCTGGTGACTCTAGTGATATTCAGCAAAGAGATGTGTAGTAATTTTTCTAAGATGAATTACAAACGTAACTGTCTGACTTCATACATACAAGTAGAAAAAGGAAGGATTATAGACTAGGAAGCTCAGACTGTTTCTATGGAGTTAGGCCAGTCACTAGGCCTCTATGGGCCATTAAGAAAATGCAAGTGTTGTATTAAATGATCTCAAATCTTTCCAGTTTTAAAATTCTATGATTCTCAATTTGTAATCATTTTTAATGGAGTCTTTTTGGAATTGTGGGAGATTTGGTCATCTAACTCTAGATGATTCCCTGTGCACTGAGTTTCGGAAAACCAAATGAGCATAGACCACACCCTACATACCTTTCACTCATTCTGAAGAGGCCTTTTCTTTTTTTCTTTGAGACAGAGTCTCACTATACCACCTTCGGTAGAGTACCGTGGCATCACAGCTCACAGCAACCTCAAACTCTTGGGCTTAAGTGATTCTCTTGTCTCAGACTCCCAAATAGCTGGGGCTATAGGGCACACGCCACAATGCCCAGCTGTTTTTTGGTTGTAGTTGTCATTGTTGTTTAGCAGGCCAGGGCTAGGTTCAAATCTGCCAGCTCCAGTGGATATGGCTAGCACCCTACCTGCTGAGTACAGGCATGGAGCCTAAAGAGGGCTTTTCTTGACCTTTCATTCTAAAGAGTCTCTTCAATTTTAATTTCAAACAATGTCATGTGATCATGTCATAGGATTCAAATTTTAAAAATTAAAAGGAACATATCTTTATGTCTTCTACATGTTTATACATACTATACAAGTCAATAGCATATTCCCTTTTCTTCATTCTTCAGGGAATATGAAAAGAACTCTGTATAAATAAGTACATGAAAAATACCATGTAAGTCTCATGGCCAGCTGAATCCTAATGCAGTAGGTATAGTAACAGGAAAAAAAAGGGGCTTTGTAGAATGGCATAAAGTAGCTGTCTCTTCCCAGGACCAGCTGCATAATTTGTGGGGCCCAGTACAAAATAAAAATGTAGGACTCCCTGTTCAAAATTTAAAATTGGCTCAGCACCTGTGGCTCAAGTGGCTAAGGCGCCAGCCACATACACCTAAGGTGGTAGGTCTGAATCCAGCCAGGGCCCGCCAGACGGCTGCAACCAAAAAAGAGCCGAGTGTTGTGGCAGGCACCTGTGGTCCTAGCTACTTGGGAGGCTGAGGCAGGAGACTCTCTTGAGCCCAGGAGTTGGAGGTTGCTGTGAGCTGTGATGCCACAGCACTCTACCCAGGTGGACAGCTTGAGGCTCTGTCTCAAAAAAAAAAATTTTTTAATTTCATGATGGTGACAGCAGATAGTAAAACAAGTACAGGCCTGTGTGTGACTGTACAGAGAATAGGTGCATGAAGTCAAGCCAGTCCCTCTTTAATGATGAACCAAACATTTCTTCCATAAAAATCCATTACAGAGCTAAAGTCACCCAAACTTTTCTTTAAGTACTTTTATCCATAAAGACACTACTCAATTTAAAACTAAGTGTTTCGACGTCATATTTTCAGGACTGAGGACTGTTTGTGACCATTTCTTGGCTCCCAGTGCAGAAGACTATTAACACAGAATGCCTAGGTTCAAATCCCACCACCTCTAGCCCTACTGGCTGTGTGGCCTCATGCAAGTGACTTAACCTCTGTAGTTTCAGTTTCCTTATCTATTAAAAGAGCATAACAACAACTGCATCATAGGTTATTAATATGTTTAAGATGAGCTAATATTTGTAAAGCCCTTACAACAATGCTTAGCATATTATTGCTAGAAAAGCCATATTAGTTATTCTCTTTATATGGAAACAATGTTGACAGGAAGTTAATCTAAAGAGAATAGCTTCTCAAATCTGTTCTTTAATTAGTAATTTAATTCCAATTTAAGTATTTACTAAATACCTACTCAGAAGTCTTCCTATTTGTCTCTTTACTCTTTATTTTTTTTTTTGATAGGTAAAAACCTCACCCACTTGCCCTTCTAGTACTGCCATCTGGGGAAGATGAAGGCCTAGTTTTCAAGAAATACTTTCTGCTAGGCTCGGTGGCTCACACCTGTAATCCCAGTACTTGGGGGACCAAGGTCGGTGAACTGCCTGAGCTCACAGGTTCCAGACCAGCCTAAGCCAAAGACAGACCTCGTCTGCCAGGCATTGTGGAGGACACCTGTAGTCCCAGCTACTTGGGAGGCTAGGGCAAGAGAATCGCTTAAACCCAGGAGTTTGAGGTTGCTGCCTGCTATGATATCAGGCACCTCTACCGAGGGCAACATAGTTGAGACTCTTGTCTCAAAAAAAAAGAAAAATACTTTCAATAAATCTAGTAAAAGATTTTAGTTAATTGCAAAAAATAATATGAATGACATTTATCTGAATGTAACATTTTAATGCTAATCTTCCTGTAACTTCTTTCCCCCCGCTTTTTAAGTAATAGGTACTATGTACTTAACAATGGATAACCAAGTGAGAGCAGTTCAATGTAGACATGAAATGACACCAATTCTAAATTTTTTTTTTTTTTTTTGTCAAGGCAGAGTCTTACTTTATCATCCTCAGTAGAGTGCCATGGGGTCACTTAGTTCACAGCAACCTCCAACTCCTGGGCTTAGGCGAATCTCTTGCCTCAGCCTCCCAGATAGCTAGAACTACAGGTGCCCTAGAACTACAGATGCCCACCACAACGCCCAGCTGTTTTTTTGTTGCAGTTTGGCTGGAGCCGGGTTTGAACCCGCCACCCTCAGTATATGGGGCCAGCACCCTACCCAATGAGCCACAGGCGCCGCCCCAATTCCAAATTTTTTATCTCCAACAATCATCTCATATATACCTTATTCTCTTCTGTACACATCTACAAAAACCTTTCATCAAATATTTTATATTCAATTACTAGAATAAAAATGTTCCCAGCAATAAAATTTCACTGAAATTGGCATTTATACTTTAAATTTGTAAATTATTCTAAGACCTTCATATAACTCAATTTATATAGAGTTTTAATTAATGGTTCTTCCTATAAAAAAAGTATAATAAAGTACTACTTTCAAGCTTATATGTGGTGGAACTGTAGTTAAGAAAAGAGTTCTGACGGGGCAGCGCCTGTGGCTCAGTGGGCAGGGCGCCGGCCCCATATACCTATACCGAGGGTGGAGGGTTCCAACCGGCCACGGCCAAACTGCAACAAAAAAACCAGCCAGGCGCTGTGGCAGGCGCCTGTTGTGGGAGGCTGAGGCAAGAGAATCGCCTGAGGCCAGGAGTTGGAGGTTGCTGTGAGCTGTGATGTCAGGACAGTCTACCGAGGACGACAAAGTGAGACTCTGTCTCAAAAAAAAAAAAAAAGTTCTGAGTTTAAATCCTAACTTTTACTAGGGTCATAACTTTTCCCAGGTGTTAAAGAAATTGAAAAAAGTATCACTAATAATACCATTAACCAAATGATGCCCACTGGAAATTCAAAAGTAATCAAAGACTTAAATTTATACATGGTTCCTGTATATGATGACAAACAGTAACAATTCTTATATTAACACTTTGAGACAAGTTATCTGGCAGAATAAACAAAAGGAAATCTTTTTAATTTAACTGTTTAACATCTGAACAAAATTATCTTAAGGTGAAAAGTCACAAATACAGAACAAACACATGTTGCCAATTCAAGATTTATAGCTCTAAAAAATACATACATACACAGGTAAGAAGTTTCTGGTTGTGACTAAAGGTAGAATAGCCAAAACTTCAGAGATTTTATTGGTTAAAGCCCAGCTAACCTAAGGACTAAGGAAAATTTTGTTAATTACAAATAAAACGTAAAAATCGGGTCCTTTGAATAGACAAGGACGATTGCTTCATTTCCTCGCTCATCAGCAATAACAAAAGACTCCTCCAAATCTTTCAGATTTAGAATATACACAACCGGCTTGCAAAATTATATCATGAATGTTAAAGTACATAAAACAATTACTCGTCAAGCAACCTCTCAATTCACCTGACTTTCCTGCCTTGCTCCGGTCTACCCTTCCGACAGCCATCGAGTTACAGCCTTAATTAAGGGAAAGCCACTTCTATAGTCGTTAACATCCACGCTTTGATGTGAAAACACCAATTACACAAACCGCCAATCAACTTTTGGCCAAATGCAAAAGAAGCCTGCAGACTGGGAAACTCAAGACTCTCTACTGTCAGAAGCTGCCCTAGTTTAGAGAGCTCTGGGGGTGGCGGATTCATCTGGGGGCTCAAGAAAACGAAAAGAAAGTTACAAGGCCTTGGAACTGAGTGCGCGTAGGTTGAGTGCACGTACTGTTGTAAACCGCACTTTGCCTCAAGTTTATTAATTCGGTCGCCACCCCAGGGTTTTAATCCGGTTTGGCCAGGAGAAAAAAGGCAGGCGGAGAGGACTATAAAGTGGTGGATATTTCCTGGTTAGTGTATGACGGGTAATCGCGATGCATCCATCTTCCGCTGTGTCGTACCCCATGGTAGCCAGAGAGCAGTCCCCTTCCCTAGGGGGCAATAGCCTGGCGCCCCTCCTGCCCGCGGACCCCGCATCGGAGGCGGGTAAACCCAGACTCTCCCCGGGCTCCTTCTCTGCCCCCGGGGTCCCAAGGCCCCCAGACCCAGGAGTGCGGTGCCACTTAGGTCCGGGTCGGGGGAAGGCGGCCCAAGCTCTCGGGGAGCGGAGCCCTGTCCCAGGAGCGCACGGAAATGCCTCCTCCCAGCTCCCGGGGTTCCTGCTCCGCCAGGCCCAACCGGAAGGAGCCCTCGGGCAGCCGTGGGGGCTCCACCGGGCAGCAGGGCCCTCCAGGCCGCGCCGGGCCTGCGCGGCGGTGAGCCGAGGAGCGGACCGGGACAGCCGCGCGGGCCGGGAAGCCTCACCGTGTGTTCATGCTCGTCCGCCCGGGCCCGAGGCGGCAGTAGCAGCAGCAACAGCG